GTAACAAGCTTGGCCTTTAATGTAGGGCACAATAAAAAAAAAAGACTTTGCTCAAGCACAGGAAGCTTTGTCCTTGGACATCACGAGGTTGGATCAGCAACATGGCATTTGCGAAAAGTTTAAACGAGACACCTTCAACAAGCTTGGCCGTTTAGTTACCTTGCTTTTTGTGATCACGAGCAGTGTACTGATTTGTCCACTCTATCCATCCAAACATCAAGGTAGAGTGAGGTAGGGGACCTTCATTCATTCACAAATATTTCTTAAATGTTCTCCTACAAGGTAGAAGTGAAAGTTCTTTATACAGCAATGATTCATCGACTTTAAAATGTACACAATTGAATCTTTTTAACATAACATTTTACAGCAACCCTACCAGATTAAGAACATGTATAGTGCAAATTATATCTGTTGTAACATGAAGAGAAGGCTCGTGTCTCTCCTCTTTCAGTTTTTACTCCCTCCTGCTCAACCATAACAATTTATTTTTAATTTATCCTAAATTTAAATGCAGCTATCACACTTCAATTAAACTTAGATAACCAGCTCAAAAGTGGAGGAGAGCAAATTCTAAGGTTTTCTTGGGTGAAAGAGAAGAGAGTTTTATTACCTGGAAAAGTGAATAAAATGTAATAACAAACACACAAGTGCAGGTTTGCACTTACAAAGAATTTAGGGAGGGTATCTGATCAAGACGGGAAGTTGCAGTTTACGGGAGCATTTTTTGCATCTTTGAGTTGCGAGAATGTTAATATCTGGGTCCAACAGTTTAACTGCTAGCTTGTTTCCTCTGTAATGTTGAAGCCGCAGAAGTCTTGGTCACTGTTTACAAAATGTTTATAACAATAATTTTTAATGTTGTTTCTTTCTGCCTGATTAATCAGTGAGATTTTTTAAACTTGGATTTAAATATGATGCTGTCAAGTAATGTATAACAATATGTATTATAAGTTTTGTTATACAAGGTCTGAATTATGAAGTGAGACATACAATAGAATCACATTTGTTCTTAATGAAGTGTATGCAATTTACTTGTTGGCACAAGTTATGCCAGCCTATTCCTGTTCTTTATTATTTTTAATTATTGTGTTATTCAATTTATTTAATTATTGTATGTACTAGATCGTAAGTTGATCTTCAAGATTTCCCCCAATAAATGCTTCCATTTGGAGTATATTGTCTGTCTGGCTGTCCCAATGCTTTTATCTATCTATTATCATTTAAATTCTCTTAAGAATCACATTTTATTTACATTGCAAAATACTGTTTCCAAAGTAAAATGACCATTATGCTACACATTATTATTTCACTTGCTCTCTTCCTCTTCTTCCTTTCCCTTTTTCATTTCCCAGATCAATTTTGAGGCTGGAAGGCAGACAGATGACCTATTTCCAAACTTCCACTATTCCTTTCTTCAAAGCTAATGCACAAGAATTGCCTTGGGATGATTTTCTCCCCCTCTTTAATTGTAAGGAATGTATTTGGAGTTTGTTTGCATTTTTGAACAAGATGAGTAAAAATGTGTACATTTTAACAAACTGCAGTGTAACAGGTTTTGGTTTTAAAAAGTGCAATCTATTTCCACCATAAACATTTTATAAACTAGGATGAAATGTGTTCAAGAATCTAGCTAATATTGATCCACTCAATAGTAGATGTTCTTTTGTTTTCCCTTTAGGGTGAATCTAATCTCTGTTTGATGTAATTCTTTGATAAAGCAGCTTAGTACAATATAGATCACATGTTGGTGGTTGCATCTTTCTTACCATACACAGCTTTAAGGCACCATCCTTTGGGGTATTGCTTCTCTACTGACCTATGTCTGTATTTTAACAACTATGCCAATTAAATTCAAATGAAAGCAGACTTAAACCATTTTGCTTAATCTAACTCACGTAGCAGATGTAACACCTCATAACCTAAAATCTGGGCTACATTCCAAACTACTAATGCATATTGTGAAAGTTCATGTAAACCTGTTCATAATACACATTGACCATTACTTTGTGCAAGACTGAATCAGCTCTTTGTTTTTACCATATTATGCACTGAAGATCATAGATCGTCAATGTCTCCTTTCATAACCTTTTGATGCAACAGAACTCTTTAATGGAGCAAGGAAGTAAGAATGTAATATTCACTCATTGCATGACTCTTCAGTAAGAGGACTGGAAGACTGAAGCTTGTGGTATAAGAGGACACTTTCCCAGGGATGGTGACATGAAAAAAAGTTAGGAGCATACGGTGTTTCAAGTGATGTGTGTTTGATAGCTCCCACAGACTGCACAAAAAGACACTTATAGCAGAGGTAGAGGGCACTTGACTCTTACAGGAAAGCCAGTACACTAAGGGTATAACTGTGTTTCTCCAAACATTCTTCTTTACATAAAAGAAAATGCACATACAATCCTTTGTATTACAAGTTATGCAAGTTACCAAATGTATGTGATCACAAAGAAAATAATTTTCATTAACAATCCAGTGTGTTAGCACTGGTCCACTTTTGTCAGCTCTGCACATGCATTCCAAATATAGTTCTTAAATTGTGCCGGTCTCCTCATAGCACGTATAAATGTCGTCATTGGCTGTTCCTCAGGTATTGGCTCAATCCTAGGGTGATGTTTCCTTCATACATGTTGTTGTTGTGGTAACAGTTGTTGCCAATCCATTGCTCTTGCTGTTGAACAGTGGCCTACATGACTGATGGTCATTGAGTACTCCATGCAAGTGCTAAAGTTACTTCTTCCTGATCAGCTTCCTACGGTGAAGACTTAGCTTCTCTAATTTTACATAAAGATCTGTGGTTGCTATTATATATTTGGTCATTCACATTCATTGTGTATGTTCAACTGCTCTACAGTTGTCCCAAGTAGCCACACAGGGTTACTTTTGCGCAGAGTGTTGAATGGTTGCACTTTGGCTACTCTCCAATACTCAGGTGTGGAAATGACTTGGCAGATTTATCAAAATGACATTTGGCCTATTGTCACTTCATCTTGATTTTGTCACTCATTACTTTTAGCTTCAATAGTTTTGTTTTGTCATTAGCAGAGAACTTTGGATTCAGTGTGACATTAGTCTTTAGACGAGACGTGGAAACTGTTGTTTCGTTCAGAAGAATTTGTTAAGGAAATGTCACATCTAGTAACTTGTTGGAGTCTTTTGAAGAGGTGACAGAGAGGGTTCATGAGGGTAATGCTGTTGATGTGGTATAAATGGACTTCCAGAAGGCTTTTGATACAGTGCCACACAATAGACAAGCGTAAAAGGTTATATCTTATAGAATAAAATAGTCAATAGCAACATGGGTACAAAATTAGCTAAGCGATAGGAAACAGGCAGTAATGTTCAATGATTATTTTTCAGGCTGGAGTAGAGTTTATAGTGGAGTCCTCGAGAGTTTGGATTGGGTCTCTTGCGTTTTCTAATGTAGAGAATATAAATGATCTATATTTTGGCATGCAGAGGACAATTTCAATGTTTGTGGATGACACAAAACTTGGAAGCATTATAAACTGTGAGGAGAACAATGCAGAACTTCAGAAGGACATAGACGACATGGTGGAGTGGACAGGTAGGTGGCAGACGAAGTTGAAGTTTGATGTAAAGATGTGTGAGATGGTGCATTTTGGTAAAAGAACATGAATATCCAGGTTAAAATAAATGGCGTTATTTTAAAGTTTGCCCTGGAGCAGGGAACTGATTGTATATGTGCATTAATAATTTGAGGTGGCACAACAGGAAGGGAGAGCTGTTAATAAAGCATACAGTATTCTAGGCTCTATTAATAGGAGTATGGAGTACAAGAACATCCACAGTATTTGCTATTATTTATATCCTCTACTCTGGCTTTAATCTTTCCATTTGTTTTTCTTTTAACCCAACTGGCTGTTCTCATTTGGCCTGTTTCACAACATATTACAAAATCTGATCTATTTCCCCATTGATATGCACTGACAAATGATTGATAACCTCAAAGTTTCTTCACTTGCCCATAGCTTTCTTGAACATGTTTCTCCTCTATCAACAGCTTTGCTCTCAGTGCAAGTTTTCTAAGGTCCATGTCTTATGTCTTATGACGACCCTATGATAAGATCATCATTCAGTTGACCAAAGTCTCAAGATCCAGTTAAATCAGTGTGGTCAATAGACTCCTTCTCCCCTTGAGTTCTGATGCTGAATATCATTCATAAGCAACATTGATGTGGCATCCAATGTATGACATTTAAGCTTTCATCTGGCTTTTTTGCTCCTCTAGGCTGCAGTCGGCTTGTAACATTCTTTCCCCGGCATTGAAAGTGTAAGAAATGTGTCAATACCTACACAAATGCCGGGCCTTCTCTGATTGACAGTTGGTGCTGAGCCCCGCCCCTGGTCACCTTGATTGACAGTTGGTACCGTGTGGCTCCGCCCCGGTCCAGTTTGATCGATATTTGGTGTTTAGCCACGCCCCCTCCCACGGAATGTCTGTTTGCACTGGTTGGCCCATCCCCTCTCCATCTATAATTGGCTGTTGGTGCTGTGTTCCCGCCCCTTTCCGTCTCTGATTGACAGTTGGTGTTTGTTGACCGTGCCTCCTGGCACTCACTGAGTAAACGTTCGTGCTCAGTCCCGCCCCTGTCCCTCTTTGATTGTCATTTGGTCTGTGTTGGCCATGCTCCCGCCCACTGACTGCTTGGGCTGAGCCCCGCCCCCTGGGCCTTAGTTATTGACAGTTGATGCTGATTCTTGCCCCATTGCCCTCTGATTGACAGTTGGCCTTGAGCCCTGCCCCTAGACACCTTTGATTGACAGTTGGTGCCTCCGCCCCCTTGGCCTTCTCTGACAATTTGTGCTTCGCGCTGGCCCCGCGGTCCTCTCTGATTGACAGTTGATGGCGTGACCCCGCCCCTCGCCTCGCTGATCGACAGCTAGTGTCGGGCGGCCCCGCCCCCACGCCCCCTCTGATTGACAGTTGCTCTTTGAGGGGAGGGGGGCGTGCGCGGTGCAGGCTGGGAACAAAACAAACCCCCGGCTCGAGCGGGCGGATAGTGGCGGTTGCTCTGGGAGAGGGGGGGGGAAAAAAAGAGGTGTCGAGGCCGAGACCGGACAGACGGAGCTGCGACACTGGCCGCGCAGTAAGCAGCGGGGGCTTGTAATTTAACGGTATATGTCTGGGGAGTGGGGAGAGAGTGCGAATGAAGGGGGTGTCATCTTCCATCCTCTCCCCTCAGGCCTCTGACCCCGCTTCAGACTCCGAGCTCTCCGGCTGCCTGGGAGGCCCCGGGAAGGGTGAGTCTCTCCCTGTCCAGGGCAAGTAAAGGGGAGGGGAGAGGGGAAACCTTCCATGTGATTTTCCAACCCCCTCCACTGTTGGGGCCTCCTAAGCTGGGCTGAGGAGTCGCACCAACAGGTAGGTGCCTCCCTCACTCCAGCCCAGCACCACGGTCCCGCGTAAACAATGGCCCCATTGGGCTGACACATCGCCTCGGTCTGCTTGTGATCACTGCCAGCGCGGCCCCACCGACCAAGGGCCGCAATTCACTCCTCGGTCTGCTCCATGTCTCCCTCGTAGGCACTCATGCGAACCTCTGTCCGAAGTCATGATTCATGCACTTTTAATGCATTGCAATGTGTTTCTGTTTCCAGCAAAAAGAGGGGTAATTCCTAAGTGTGTTTCACTTTCCTCTGTTCAGCGCCACAAGCAAAATGGTAGCGTATTCAGACACCCACACCTCGGCATAGTTCTACAAATGAACCAGTCTGTTTCTCCCTAAATACAGTAAGGATTGTGCAAATTTCTAGCCATCCACTCTTATTGACTCAACAAAGATGTAAACCGTAACACCCACTTGTGCCTGAAATACTAAACAATAGTGAAATGAGTGTGTCGTGTTCAGTGAAGTCTCAAGTTAAAGACTTTGTTATGAAGTTCAAACTTGCAAATGCGTTAAATCATTCACTGTTGCCCTGGTTCTTCTTTCTCCTTGATCCGTCACCACTCAATTGTTCAAAGCTTTGGTGCTGCCCAATAAAAATCGATCAAATTTTAGTGTTGGATTATAACTGAATTGTGCTTCATAGTGTGAAGATTAATGGAATATATCTATCATGGTGCACACTGAAGAATTGTATTATATAATTGTGGGTAATTATATGATTATAAATAGATATGCAAAAGAAGACATTTAGTAAGCTTCTGACCATGGATTCTAAACTAAATGTTTGATTCAGGAGCATGAAAGTTGTAGAATATTATAAGAAATAATTCATCATAAAATCATAGGTTTGCTTAAATAAGATACCAGCAACTGAGCATTTTTTGGTTTTTCAAACCATCTCAAAACAATGTCAAAGTTGGCATTGCCCTATAAAAAGGTCGATTTATGTCCTTGTATTTTAGAGGTTTGAGCAGTCCAGCTCAAATATATTTAACATTTAACACATGTTGATTAAAATTCAACTAGGCCAAACTTACTGATTTATACCAGGATTTCTGAGATATGAAGCTCTTGTGACTTCTTAAATTTGTTTCACCAATGTGTGTAAATCAAAGAAAATGTTGCTTGAAAGTGGAGTCGCAGATAGATAGGGTAGTGAAGAAAACATTTGGTATTCTTGCCTTTATTGGTCAGTGCATTGAGTATAGGAGTTGGGAGGTCATGTTGCAGCTGTACAGGACATTAGTTAGGCCACTTTGGAATACTGCATTCAATTCTTGTCTCCCTGCTGTAGAAAAGATGTTGTTAAACTTGAAAGGGTTCAGAAAAAATTTATAAGGATGTTGCCAACGTTGGAGGGTTTGAGCCATAGGGAGGGGCTGAATAGGCTAGGGCTATTTTCCCTGGAGCGTCGGAGGGTGAGGGGTATCTTATAGAATTTCATAAAATCATTAGGGGAATGGATAAGGTGACTAGTCAGTGTCTTTTCCCCAGGGTAGTGGAGTCCAAAACTAGACAGCGTAGTTTTAAGATGAGGTGAACAGAATTAAAAGGGACCCAAGGGGCAGAGGGTGGTGCATGTATGGAATGAACTACCAGAGGAAATGGTGAAGGCTGGTACAGTTACAACATTTAAAGGACATCTGGATGGATATATGAATAGGAAGGGTTTAGAGGGATATGGGCTAAATGCTGGGAAATGGGACTAGATTAATTTAGGATATCTGGACGGCGTAGACGAGTTGGACCGAAGAGTCTGTTTCCATGCTGTACATCTCCGTCTCTAAATCGTTATAAAATAAAACAAAGAAATGTGGGTGCTGGCGATCTGAAACAAAAACAGAAGTTGCTGGAAAAACTCATCAGAGTCACCAGACTCGATGTTAACTGCTTTATTGCCATAGATGCTGCCAGGTGTGCTGAGCTTTTTCCAAGTAAATCATAATATTTTGGCTCGTAAATGTGGTTTTCTCGTATTTCCAATATTTACTGATAATGTACAATTGCTTACTGCTTTCACGATGAAATCATCTGCCACATTATTTCAGTATACATGAATCTTTCTTTTGTTTCAGACTCTGTTTACTAGCTGGTGCAGGTTACAACCACTGCCGATGAATGTGAAGGTTTATTGCATTTTTTAAAAGGTTAAGATTAGGGAAATACATAATGGTGCAAGCTGTTTACTCTCAGGGTTAAGGAGCATAAATAATTCACCATCTTGAAATTCTGAGCTAAACTTTGATTACTAATCATAGTGAAAATGAATAGTACTAGGTAGCAAAGTAGAACTGTTGACTTGCAATAAACTTAATTTGGGCTGTTAGCTTTCTGTGTAGATCAATCTTTATATCTGGGTTAAATTTAAATTGTCATTCTTGGGACAACTGCACTTTGTGATTAAGCTACGTTACTTGTTTTCCAGAAGATATAATGGGGCAAGTGGTCTGTTTCTGTCCTGTAAACTTTGAGTTCAGCTATGCTCAGTTAGGTGCTTTAAGAATGACTATGCATGAGTGGCATTGGTTGGTAGAAGTACAAAATTGACTGGTCTGATAGCAATAACTTGGACAATGCATGGTCTGCCAGCAAATGGGAATTATTGTTCTGTAAGGCAGTAAGCTGTGGTTTATAATTACAAGGCAAGGATTTAATACTTGAAGCTGCAAGTTCAAAATAAAAGATAAATCTCTTTCCTTCAGGTACTCGAGACAAGGGTATTGAACACAAGGAGAACAAATAATGGGTCTAAAAACCTTTACACACAATTCTCCAGTCCATGGTCAAGAGCTTCTTGGAAAATTAAACAAACTTCGTAATGAAGGACATTTTTGTGATGTTACAATTCGAGTTCAGGATAAGGTCTTCAGAGCCCACAAGGTGGTACTTGCTGCTTGCAGTGAATTCTTCAGGGCAAAACTTATAAATCAATCAGATGCGGATGAGTGCATTTTAGATTTGAATCATGTGACTGTTAGTGGGTTTTCGCCATTGCTAGAATATGCATACACTGCTACACTTGCCATTAATACTGAGAACATTATTGATGTCTTGGCTGCTGCAAGCTATATGCAGATGTTTCATGTAGCAAATACCTGTTCAGAGTTCATGAAATCAAGTATTCTGTGGAATACAAGTAGTAATCCACCAGGATCTGTTCCTCCATTATCTCAGGAGAATAGTGGAGCTTGCATCGTTCAGTCCCATGATGACAGCTTATCACCAGTGTCGTCAGAATGTAGTTCAGTTGAGAAGAATAAGCCCAGGGAGTCTCGCCGAAAGCGAAAGAACTTCATAATGATATCGCCAGAGAGTCCTACTGAATCTGCTGCTCAGCCCAACTGTTCACAAGTTTTAAACCCTTCAGTGACCTTTTCAGATAGCAACAGGACCCAGCAGTGTGTAGACTCATCTGTGTCATTTCAGTGGACGTACCCATTGGGAAGTGATCGACGGACCCAAACTGAAAAAAGTAAACAAACAGAAAATGCTAGGATCTTGGAACAGACCGTTAACACAGAGGTAACAGGAAGACTACCTGAATTCACTGCTTGTGAAAGCACAAAAGCAACATCACCCCCTATAATAGAAGATGATGTACGGATCAAAGTTGAAAGGTTGAGTGATGATGAGGGTCATGAAGTGGTGTCACAACCTGTTAGTGCTTCTCAAAGTTCACTTAGTGACCATCAAACTGTACCAGGAAGTGAACAAGTTCAGGAAGATTTATTGATCAGCCCACAGTCTTCCTCTATAGGTATGTTTGACAAAACATTTACTCTTCAACTTTTTTATTAAATTAAGTTTAAAAAGCTCCTGTAATGAGGTAAAACAAAGTCGTCATGAAATTAAACATCTTAGAACATTGCATATATATTTTTTGCATGGTTTATATAATTGGGATGGTGATTTGCATTCCAGAAGGCTGTGCTGTTATTATAGTCCAGTTGAATTTGCTTGGTAATGAACAAAAATAATTTGTATCGTGACTAGTATTTCTTAGATTGCAAAGTTTAGCTGATCTAGTTTTCCTCCAAGTCATATGGAATGACAAGCAAGGCCTTTCTTTTTGTCACAATACTGTGAGCCACCTTGAGAAATTGGATCATGCTGCAGGTGTTTATGGGTCTACAGTTGCTGTTTGGTCACCTTGCCCACATTTTTAAGTAATAGTTTTTGAGGGAACAAGAATGTTTGCTGCAGTTGAAAGAAGTATTTTCTTTAAAAAAGATCTTTAACTTTACAATTTAAAAACTAGGCTATCGAGCTTAGGATTTTGCGAACAAGGTCCTTAAGTGAAATATCAATCACTTCACTTAAATTACATCTTTATCATTATCTTATTAGATAGTTGTTAAATTTGCATATCTGCCAATGTTTTCAATCTTTTCAGCTTGCTTGTCTTTTTCATCCTCCCTTTGCATTATCGCCCTCTTAGGCAGTTTGGAAAATTAGTGATCCAGTATTAATACCTGTACTGTAGCAGATCATTAATTTTTTATTGTAATTTTCCATTTTTTGCTTTTATTTTAGTTAGCTAAGTCTAAAATATGTTTACCACAGATGTAAATTACTACGTGGAGTTTATGAAGCTGGCAAAGTGTGATGTTCCAGTTACAAAGCACAGTATTTAAAATGTTTATTTCATTGCAGAATTTATATACAGCGGTTGAGCTTAGAATTATAAGTTGTTGTCTTGCTAAATATTTAGTAACATTTTGCTTTCTCTTTAAACAGGTTCAGTAGATGAAGGAGTTACAGAAGGTTTACCAACTCTTCAAGGCACTTCCAATGCCAACAATCACCCAGATGATGATGATAGGTAAGTACAGTCTGTTTACATATTGTTTTGCATTTAATGAATGTATGGTGACTGATTAATAACACAAGGTGCAATAGCAATTAGAGGTTTGAGGGGGAAGAATGAAGTTGGCAGATGTAGTAAAGGTCTGTCTTAAATCAGTTTTTAAAATGTGCACAATGGGAAAAGATTTGTACTGAACTTCAATACTTGTGGTAACTGAGGACTGTGGTGGTTCAGAGGTCCTTCTGCTTGTGAAAGATTTTCCATGAGAAATAAGTATTATCAAGGAGATTTTGTGTGCCCAATCCAAGTTGTGTTGTGATTTATACTGTATCTTGACTTGGTCCTTTGAATGGTGACAAATTAGTTGCAAATTCGATTTACTTACACTCATTCATCATGAACATTTCTTAATATTGGCTGATGCTCAACATCATTACTTAAGGTAGTTTTAGTATATGCTATTGGAGAACTAAGAGAGGGTTAAAAAATACAGCTCATTTCTTGTTATGATTTGCTTAATACATAAAAGCATTTGTTTCAAGGAATGATCTATATAATCTGACCTTTTAACCTTCCATGACAATAAAATGCACTTGCTGCATGCAAGTTATGTAATAGGTAATTGGGTCATTTCTTTAACAGATTAGAGGCTAATTGCTTAGAGAAGCAATCTCTAGATTGGGAGTCCAAAGATAAATGAAGAAGAAAGAGATGGGCAATTCCATAAAATTGTTATTTTTTTTAATGTGCATAAAAGGTCAATGAAGATAAGATGTCAAGCTTGCACTAACTGTCTTCTGGGTTCATCAGTTTGATCATTGGATCAGGACCTTTTTTTTTGCATATTTGACTGTGTTTAGTTGGAGTTAATTTATTTTACTTATTGGACTTAGCAATAATTGCAGTACTTTACATAGAAACAATGTGTTCAAAGATTGTTGTTTTAGAAAATTACAGGTATGAAGTTGGACCAGGTATGTAAATTTTGAAAATTTAAATAGCTGACACCTGATTTCTGTTTGGCACCTAGTGTCATTTTCTGACTTTATGCCGGAAATGTATGCCAGTTTTGGGAAATGGAGACTAAACTGGTTATATTCTGATAAACTTCCAAAATGTATTCTCAACTCTATAACCAATGAGTATGCTCAATAATATTTATTTCATATATTGTATAACTTTTCACGAAATTCACTAACTTCCAAATATTGCACAGATACACTGGTGTACTGAGGGTACCAGATGAAAATTTTGGATTGTTGTTTCTTCTTTCAACAAGATCCACAGGATTATTGTGCTCTCCTTTGGATAATTCTACTTTTAAATTGTAGTTCTTTAAATTTCTAGATTGGAGAGTGGACAGTACTCCTACCAGCTATACATCAACCCTTCCACAAGTGGCACAGAGAGACCCAGCCCAAACGGTCCTGATAAACCTTTTCAGTGCCCCACATGTGGTGCGAGATTCACTCGTATCCAGAACCTCAAACAGCACATGCTTATTCACTCAGGTAAGATTGAATAAATGGTTTCATGTTCTATTTACTTTATCTGTGTGTGTGTGGCATTAGTAATCTGTTCACTTTGGATATGCGCATGTGAGTTATTAAAAAAAGTAATTAAAGTCTTCCTTATTTTGCGGTTGTGAATCAACTATTAATTTGACTCGGTTGCCTTTTGACTACTGATTTGTTAAAATTAATCTTTGCGCGAGTCTGAAATATTGGAAATATTTATGCCTTGAATGTGCTTTATTCAAGAGCCATAACTTAAGCAATTATCATTTGAAGTACAAAGTGTATATTTATTTCAGTGGAATTCAACAGAAATCCTAGATTATTACAAGAGAGTAGTCAGAGAGTGAAACCCAAAGTTTATGGGAGGCTTCTAAAGTTCATTATATTGTAGCCACAAAGGGATTCATAATTAGAACTGATAAGTATATTGTGGCAAAACCTGCTTGATTCAGCAACAGCAGCTGTGTCCTTCTAAAGAAGGGTCATATGACTCGAAGCATTAACTCTGTTTTCTATGCACAGATGCTGCCAGACATGCAAAGTTTCTCCAGCAATTATGGCATTTTTGTTAATGTTCTGGGAGCCTGCTGTGGCAAATGGTGAAATTTAAATTCAATTAAAAAATCCAGATTGAAGTGCTAGCCTAATGGCAATCATGTAACCATTGTTGTAAAAACGCATCTGGTTCACTAATTTTGGACCAAATGCAGACAAATGGGACTGGGTTAGATTGGGATGTCTGGGCAGCACGGACAAGTTAGATCGAAGGGTCTATTTCCATGCTGTAGACTTTGACCTTTTAAGGAAGGAAATCTGCCATCCTTACCTGAGCTAGCTTATTGAACTCCAGATCCACAGTAATATAATTGACTCTTAATTGTCCTCTGGGTAAGGGCAATTAATGCTGGATTAGCCAGTGGTGTCTGTGAACAAATAAAAACAAAAGGCGTTATGTTTCACTTGGTCACTAAACTGATTTCCCTCGAGTTCAATGGAAAATAATACAGTAGTTGCATTCTGCTCCATTCAGTGTTTATCTTTTTCTTTTACAACATGGATTTTGAAACTTCTGTTCAATGCACTTTTTGAAGATATCAAATTATGTTTGAAGACCAGTGAGTTTTAAGTGAGACTAACTGCTATCATTATCTTTGTAACATTCATCATTGCATTTGTGCATCTCAAGCTTCATTTTAGAATTCACAGAACATTGTAATTCTCCTTACTTAAATAGTTTTGATTATGAGCATTCACAAAAATTTAATATTTCATTTATATCTTTTTTCTACTGTTTGTTTAATTATCCTTCAAACATTGTAGGTGCTTAAAATATTGAGGTCATGTCATAATCAGCAGTTACGATTGAGCATAAGAAATTACAAAAGAATTAAGTGCTGAAGGCAGTTTGAAGAGAGATTTTGAAGGTTGCGAATAAGGTAGCAAAGAGTGGGGTTTCACAATTTCAGAGTATGCGTTTGTCGTGGATGAAGGTTCTATTGCTGAGGGTGGAGCCTACAGTGTTATGCAAAAGCAGCCAAAATTTGAAGAATAGAAAGCTTTTTTATCTGGGCCAAGATGAAACAAGATAGTTGAAACAGCATGTGGTGTTCCTCATTTATGAAACGTGACTGATATTCTTTTTCTATTTTTATTATTAATATCACTTTGTTTTGAATGTTAATTGTGATACTTTACAGAACAAAATACCTGCACTTTGTGGAAAAGGTATTGATTCTTTCACTTTAGGGTTAGGGTGATGGGAAAAATTATTTTCTTAGTTGATTTCAGAGGCTTTTTTGACTATATTCTCCAATTTTAATGACAAATATCTCACTCTGGAAATATTTATTTAACCTGTTGTTAGAGAACTAAACTCCTTTAACTAGGAAGAGGTGACAGTTCAGTTGCAAAATAATAAAATACATGATCAGCCGTAATTTTATTGAATGACAGATTTGGCTTGAGAGGCTGAATGGCTTATTTCTGCACCTTGTGCATAGATTTATAGTCTAACAAGTGGAATAGTGAACTCATTGATGCATAATAACTATAAATATTGCACAGTTCGAGGTTAATGCAGTGGTTAATACTGATATCTTAAAACCAGGGAGTTATAATCTAAAAGCTGGTGAGAAAAACTTGAAACTTTTAATATTTTTCGCCCTATTTTTAAACTTGATTACAGGATTTCAAAACAAAATTCCATGGTTTTCTGATAGCCAAGAAGAATTGTTAGACTCATGACAAAATTTGAATAACTTCTACATCACAGAAGTATCTATTATAAAATACGTTTTATGATCATGACAATTGCATTACATTGACTCTGACTTCTTAAATATAGAAAGTCCAAAATCTAACTGTACACAATTGGTTTTCCTGTGAGATTTATTAAATATCTTTCTAGTTTTACAACATTTAAGAAGTTAAAGTTTCAGCTGCCTTCTTAATACTTCAATTCCTTTGAGAAGAAATAGTAAAGAATGAAGATATTGAAACGTATTACACTGCAATACTGTAAAAGTAAGTCATATAAAAAATGGGAGTGGGGAGGTGTGCACTTGGGGCCACTTCCAACATACATCTTCGGAGTCATTTTATGGTATTAATGACTTAATTCAAGAGAAATAACAAATTTGGTTTCACTTTTGCTTCGATGCTCCTGCCATCCCAGCTGAATGATAGAAAGCAACAGCTGAGTGAAATCATATATTTACTGTCTGTTATAAAATGATTTCCTACTGAATTGAATCTTTCTCCTGTACTTAAGTTAAAGCAACTTATGGTAAAACAATCCTAATTGATGAAATTTTTTTGGAATGTTGGCCGTTCTGACTCTGCTTAATGTTGTTTGAAAGTGTTTTTTTTTGTTTGTGGGATGTTGGTGTCAATGACTAGATCAGCATTTTATTTTTGCCCATTCCTAATTGTCCTGGAGCACGTTATGAGCCATTATTTTGATGTTTTGCAGACCTTGGGGTGTAGGGACACCAGCAGGGCTATTTAGAAATGAGTTCCAGAAATTTAACCCAGTAACAATGAAGGAATGACAATATAGTCACATTTCAGGATGTGACTTTCATGGGAGCTTGCAAGTGGTAGTTTTTCTATGCATCTGATGTTGTCCTATGAAGCAGAGGTTACAGGTTACCTTGCTGAGTTATTGTAATGCATCTCTTAGATGTCTCACTGCTGCCACTGAGTGTCAGTGGTGAAGGGAATAAATGTTGAAAGTGGTGGCTGGGGTACCGATTAAGCAGCCTGCTTAATCCTGGCTGTTATCGAGTTTCTTGAATGTTGTGGGATCTCTCGTCATCCAGGCAAGTGGATGATATTCCATGACACTCCTGATTTGTGCCTGGTATATACTGGACAGGCAATGGGGAGACTGGAGGTGAGTTACTTAGAGAATTTCTAGCTTCTGACCTACTCTTGTAGCCACAGTTTTAATATAGCTGCTCCAGTTCAATTTCTGCTAAACCTTAAGCACCAGGATGTTAATAGTGGGGGTTCAATGATAGTTGTGTCTTGGAGCATCAAGGGGTAATGATAAGATTCTGTTTTGTTGGAGATGATCATTGTCTGGTTACTTCTGTGACACTTGTTACTTGTCACTTATCAGCCCAAGCCTGGATGTTGTCAATGTCGACAAAATGTGGAGCTGGAGGAGCACAGCAGGTCAGACAGTATCAGAGGAGCAGGAAAGTTGATGTTTCGGGTCTGGACTCTATAGTAGTTTATGTTTCTAAATGTTGCAAATCAATGGTGAGATATCAACTGATTTTCCCCTTTCTTTGGAATTGTACTTCGAACTTCAGAGACAAAATTAAGTGGAATAAGCAGACATAATCTATATAATTAATAAAATGATCCTGGTGCATGCATACATATATAGTTGGGGAAGTCATACATAATGTGCTTTATGACTATTTCTGAATAATTTTATATTTCATTTTATAAATTGTTGTGTAGTGCAACATCTGTGGTACATCTCTTTATTCCTCATAGTTTGCTTTTAGGAATTTGATTCATGTTTGGGGGAGAGAATTGGGTGGACAACGTGGTATATCAATTCTATTTTGTTAAAAACCAGCTTGGGTAATAAAAATCATTTATTTCCCAAATATTTGTATTATCTTACATGTAGGTTGCAGAAATTATTTGTTTGGTTGCAGGTGCATTCAATGGTTGTAAGCAAGCACTGAAAAGTAATTCCATATTGATAGTAGCCATATTTTTCTTCTGATAATAGGTAAACGGCTACTGAATAATGGTGTCTGCACTTTTTTCATTATTTAACATACCTGTAGAAATTCTGCCATTCAAGCAAAAATTAATCAGTTATAGTTTCTTTCTGATACTTGGAATAGGATGAGCAGTTTATATAGCTTGATGACAACACTTTGTTTTAAGAACTGAGAGAATGAAGTATCACTTTCTTCTTCTCAAATTATTGAGTTGGTTATTGTTGATTGAAGGCATTCCTTTTTTTAGGTATAAAACCCTTCCAGTGTGACAGATGTGGAAAAAAGTTCACAAGAGCGTATTCCTTAAAGATGCATCGTCTCAAGCATGAAGGCAAACGATGTTTCCGATGCCAGATATGTAGTGCAACATTTACTTCATTTGGGGAATATAAACACCATATGCGTGTTTCAAGGCACATTATTCGAAAACCAAGAATCTATGAGTGTAAAACATGTGGTGCCATGTTTACTAATTCTGGAAACTTAATTGTACACCTGAGGAGCCTGAATCATGAAGCATCTGAACTGGCGTCCTACTTCCAGGGAAGGTAAGCCACAGTACTGTTGAAAATCTATGCTTGGAAGGAACAATCTGGCTGTTAGTGCAAGAATGGTCTGATGCTTATATTTATTTAATCTAATGAGGTCTGTGTGATGATGGAAAAATTGACCACTCTTGTGGAAGAGACCAGAACTAGCGACCATAAATACGATAGATAATAAATATGATCAATTATTAATAAATCCAGTGGGAAGTTCAGGAGCAACCTCTTTACTCTGAGATTGGTTAGAATGTGAAAGTTGCTGTCATAAAGAACAGGGGAGGTAAGTGTCATAGATGCCTTTAAGGATGACCTGGATGAGTATAAGGAAAAGAAAGAAATCTGAGAGCATGATAGAGTTCCGTGTTGAGGATTGGATATTTCTGAGCAACATAAAGACGGATGTGGACTGTTCTGTACAATCTATGTACCATAAATAACAGCGTAAAAGTCAACTTGACGTATAAAACAAATCCATTTATCTGGCTGTAAAAGTCACATTTTTGCATAAAATTAGCATGCAAATTGGCCATATACTGATTTCCCCAAAAAACCTCCCACCTTGCTACTTTTTAGCCCAATATGCCTGCCTTGTGTTATTCGTCGATCTCAATGGAGATATTTATTAATTAATTTAATAATCTTGGCAAATAAATGTAAAACATTTGAATGACATAGATTTCCTTGATCATGCAAAACTGTAGAATCTGAAACTTTTGCAGCCCAGTTTAGTACTAATTACATGCAATCTAGAGTGTGTGGGGGTATCCTGTTCAATCATGATGCATCTTAACACACACAACTAACTTCCTTCAATTTATATGCCACATTGGAATATGCCAGTAGATGTTGCAGTTTTGGATTTCAGTAATCCCTTTAAACTATGACGTAAAAGCAAAATACAATAACAAATGCTGGAAATCTGAAATAAGTGCAAAGTGCTGGAAATATTCAGCAAGTCCCATATTGGATCCCATTAATTTTAGGAAATTAGAAGCCATACTAGAGAAGTAGATATTGCAATCAATAATCATCTTATAAAATGAAGGAGATGGATTGAGGAGCTGAATGGCCAATTGTTCATTTTAGTTTCTATGTAGGTCTGGAAGTGTGTGTTGAGAGAAAAACAGTTAATATTTCGAATTCTCTGTCATCTTTCGGACTGAAGGAAGGTGGGAACTTGATGGCATTTTGCTTTTGAAAGCTAGGGAGGGGGAGGAAGAACAAAAGAGATGATATTGATGATGTAGAGGGAAGGAAAACTTCAGTGGTGATGATGATGACATGGCTCAAAAAGCAAAGAGAGCCATAAAGAAACAAAGTATTTGTTCTATGCCAGTGTGAAGGGCAGAGTAATGAACAGCACTATCCAAAAGCTGTAACATAGAAATCAAGATTCATAGTATAAAAATGGGTACTGGAGTTGTTGAATTTGGTTCTGAGTTCAGAAGGCTGTTAAGTACCTAAATGGAAGATGAAATACTGTTCTTCAAGCTTCTTTTGAACTCCACTGGAACACTGCAGAAGGCTGAGGTCAGGAATGTAAAGGAGAGAGCTTGATGGTGAATTAAACTGTCAAGTCGGTGGAAACTCAGGTCATGCTTGTGGACTGAATGGAGATGTCTGCAACATTGTCACAAAATCTAAGCTTGACCTTTAATGCAGAGGACATCGTATTATGGGCAGCAAAGCATTTGATGCGGTTCTTCTGGAAAGGTTGAACTGAAAGTAGTGCAAGACGGAATCGGGGGATATTTTGAAATGGATGAGTAACTGGTTGGCCAGTAGAACCTAAAGTTAGTCGTGCAGTAATTGTCATCAGTCTTTCATCATGTCACTGCGGTTCTGCAGATGCTTGTTACCTTTTGCCAATAATCAGGATCCAGGACTCGCCAGCATAGCAGTTTAAATTGCACTAATACCAAACTATATACAGGTCATAGACTTATGTTTTGAATATACTTGGGAATTGGAAACACATGAGCAGATGGAATTTAATGTAAGGAAGGGATTATTGCTTAAAAGAAAGGGTTCATGGAATATGGAAGATCAGTAGGTTATAAACTGAAGCTATTGTAGATGTCTCTGCAACAGTGATTAAAGTAAATCAGATGTTGGAGAAAAGATAAATATTGTGCCAAAAATAATGAGGTAATTCTGCCATTTTAGAAATGCCTGTCACAGTTGCACTTGGAATATCATGAACATTTCTGGTTGCCACAGTGTGAAAAGGATATTCTGGCTGCTGAAAAGATACACAAATGAGCAATCAGAATAGCCACAGAGAAAGAATGATTGGATTATAAGTAGTAAGGAACCTGTTCTGTCTGGGATGAAAAAGGTTGAAAAGTGATCCAGTTGTTGTGTTTAGCTTTCTAAAGTGTGTGGATCATGTTGATCATGACAGATCATGATCCAGAATAAAAGAACTAATGGGCAAGAACCTGCTTTGGATGAAAGAGAAATTCAACGTGAATCTGCCAATCAATATTTTATTCAATCTACAGACTTGATGCTTAAATGTTAAACTGGATTTAAATACATTCAAGTGCAAATTAAATGGGGTTCCAGAAGAAGAAAACAGCATTTTAGGATACTGCATTTCACAGTTGCACAAATTTTTCAGTACAAACAGAAGCCATTCTCCACATCATATCAGCACCGGCTCTTCGGATGAATGTGTCATGACTTAGTGCTATTCGCTTGCCTTTTCCCTGACCCGAGCACATTAGATGATTTAAATATAAATAGTGTCGCCTCAATTGATCCTGCCTCCAAAGACTTCCATACAGGACATTCTAGACATGAACCACGTGGATTGAATTTTTTTCTCACGTTGCATTTGCTGCCTTTGAAAATCGCTTGAACTCTGTACTCTCTCATTTGTGATCCTTTACTGAGCAAGAGAAGCAATGGCCTAGTGGTATTATCACTGGACTGTTAATGCAGAGACCCAGGTAATATTCTGAGGACTGGGGTTTGAATCTCACCATGGCGGATGGTAGAATTTGAATTCAATAAAAATCTGGAATTAAAATGATGATTGTGCAGCCATTGTCGATTGTCAGAAAAGCTCGTTTGGATCACTGATGTCCTTGAGGGAAGGAAACCATCCTTGTGACTCCAGACCCACAGCAATGTGGTTGACTGTTAACTTCCCTTTGGGATGGGCAATAAATGCTGGCTTAGCCAGCAACCCACTCATCCTGAAAATGAATTTTTAAAAAAATATTTTTAACCCTATTAGGTGTATCCAGCCACCTCATGATTTTAAAAGTTTCTATCTTTCCAAGGAGAACAGTCCCAACCTTTCAAATCTATCCTCACAACTGAACTTTCTCATCCCTTGAAATATTTTTGTAAATCTGCACCCTCTTCGATCTGTTCATGTCTTTCTTATGATGTGTATCCAGAACTGTACATGGTACTTAAGCTGAGGTCTAAAGATGCGTACAAGTTCAGCATAACCTCTCATTCCTGTATTCTCATGTCTCTGTTAATAAAGTCGAGGATATTGTAGCCTTTATTAATTGTTTTGTCTTTCTATCCTGACACCTTCAATAATCTATGCACATATCTACTCTGATCCATCTGTTTTAACACCAACCTTTAAAATTGTACTACTTATTTTATTTTTGAAGTCCATATTCTTCCTACCTGTATACGAGTAATTTAAGATGTTAAATGAGGTAAGCGCAGAAGCCTTCATGCAGCCACTGGGATTTTTTTGATGCAATTTCTGTGCCTATATTAAATCATGCCATAATTAGTCATCAATCACAGGTTTATATTATACAGTTGCTAAGCTGGCAGAAGGTGAACTAGCTGGACTTTTATTGTGCAGGAATTCCTTTGTTCCTAATTATTTATGAGATTTTAGGACTTTCACCACCCTTTCAATCGGGAACACTTCCCATAATTTGATCATTTTGTACAACAAACCTAACAATATCATGAGATAACAAGGTGTAGAGCTGGATGAACACAGCAGGCCAAGCAGCATCAGAGGAGCAGAAAGCTGACGTTTCGGGTCTGGACCCTTCTTCAGAAATGGGGGAGGGGAAGTAGGATTCTGAAATCAGTAGAGAAGGGGAGGCAGATGGAAGGTGGATCAAGGAGCAAATAGGTGGAGAGGAGACGGACACGTCAAGGAGGCGGGGATGGAACCAGGAAAGGTGAGTGTAGGTGGGGAGTTAGGATGGGAGTTGGTCAATCAAGGGAAGATGGACAGGTCAAGGAGGTGGGGATGAGGCTGGGAAGTAGGATGTGGGGATGGGGGTTGAGGTGAGAGGGGTGGATCGGTGGGAGAAAAGACGGGTCTCTGCTGGGCTGGTTTTGGGGCGAGGTCAGGCTGGGAAGATTTTGAAGCTTGCGAAGTCCACATTGATACCATTGGGCTGCAAGGTTCCCAAGTGAAATATGGGGTGCTGTTCTTCCAACCTTTGGGTCGCATCATTGTGGAACTGGAGGCGTCCCAGGATGGACATGTCTTCCAAGGAGTGGGAGGGGGAGTTGAAGTGGTTCGCGACTGGGAGGTGCAGTTGTTTGTCATGAACCAAGCGTAGGTGTTCCACAAAGCTGTCTCCAAGCCTCCGCTTGGTTTCCCCGATGTGGCGGAGGCCACATCGGGAACAGCAGATACAATATACCACATTAGCGGATGTGCAGGTGAACATCTGTTTAATGTGGAAGGTTTTCTTGGGGCCTGGGATGGGAGTGAGCGATCATGTTGCATTTTACTGATTTTAAACCTGTGACCGTTAGTATGCTTCAACCCACCCCATTCAAACAAATGGTATGTTTTTGCCTTTCCTGTACTTGTGTAGATCTTGGATTACTTTTAAGGTATCTGCTTCAAGCCTGCAAAGCCCATAGTCATCTATCTTCTCTCATGAGTCAGATCTTTGACGCTGTGGATTAATTTATCATTGTCTCCGGCCCTTGGTACTCTTTCTTTTGTCTTTGGCAGAAACTGGGATAATACTCTAGGTGTGTTTTGGATTTGGAATG